GTGTCTGAGCCATTGCTCCTAAAGTAGGGGGGTAGAAAGTTTGGCAAGGGGCCATTGACCCCTCCCCCACTTTACACCCAAGGCCTGATCTATAACTCATATTTGGTTGGTGCTACAACTACATATAAGCGGGGTCTATCTTGAGTATAAGAAAGGTTATGTATGTCAACCTACTACTTACTGTACTCACTATTTATTTTCAAGAGAAAATATCTGGCATTAAGTGTGTTGTTTTTCTGTTGAAAATGGCACATATCATTAATGCACAATAAATGAAATTGCTTTACTGAAATGAGGCTGTATCTCAAAAGTACAGAGATGAAAATGTCACGACTGTGGAGCTGTCATCTGGATGCTGTTAACTCAATAATTTTTCAACGAAAGGTTTGATAAGAATTTACTAATGCTTTCATCGAGACCTTAAAATAACGTTTCAGCAATAACAACATATACATTCCCTAAGGGGCAACACACCACGTTTAGCTGTTGAGGTAATGCTTGACTGCTGCCAACATCTTGGTTTTGATATGGCATCAGTTCAATGGGGAATTATAGCAGGGCTACCATGCTTAAATGTCACAGATACAGTATCTGTCAACCTCTCACTCTGTCTCTCGCCTCACACTCAGCTGTGCATGTCCACAAAATGCCAACATGAGCAGTTGCCATGACAGCAACTCCCTCCTTTGCCTCCAACCCTTACTCTATTCTGGTCAGAGCCATGCTCTACCTCCGTAACCCCCCCACCTCCTCTTTCTCTTTCTTTCCTCTCTTCTGGGCCTTCTTCAATATTGAGAAAAACATTTGTTTGGCGCTGCTTCACTCTGATTTGGTAGCTAATAAGTCTCAGTATTTATGTCCCAGGGTGTCTTGTGTTACCTGCCATCTTAACTACTTCCCGCTCCTGTGCTCTCAAATAGCCTCAGGGGGGGCTACTAGAGAGGTCTGGCTACTGTGCAGACCCACAAATATGACCTCGTAGAGCAACCTTATTTTGCCAAGTATGAAGGTTTGAAGACAGATTTTAGGCCAAAAATATGATTTAGTTCCATTAAATAAAGACAAAATCCCCCCTGGATGCAACATTTCTCAACCCCTACTCAATCAGCTGCATGTGTTGAGGCAGAGTGTCTGGTCACTGGGCAGAGTATGAGGGCAAATCTTAGAGACAGAACTAATGTGATGATGAGAGGGTTTGAGTTTCTCTGACGGTAAAAGCTTAGACCACTGACAGGAAAGTGTGTGATATCTGCTGAATATTTTCCCCTCTGATTTACTGCAACAGCTTTGCAAGGTAAACAAGTAGCGTGGAGATGTTTGCCAGGCAGTGTGTTAGTTTATCCACCGACTATGTGGAAGATTCAGAGCCTTATGCAGGTTAGGTGGGTGTGCGTGTGTTTACTATAAGAATAGCTGAATGAATGATAGCAACAGCCTGTGGCTCATGTAGGAAGAGCATCATTTTCAATTATTTCACAATGAAGTATTGATTACAATTATATTGGGTTGAGTATTTTATAAAACAATTGAATGAACTGCAGAAGAACAACAATGTCAACCAAAGGTGGCGGAGCTCCACCAAGGCCAATCACATGCTCCTTAGTTGGGTCTGGGGTCCAAAGTTGTATGGGTTCCAATCAGCCCATGCTTTGCCCTAGTTTAATGAAAATCAAGCAGTTGTTTTTTCTGTAATGCTGCTCACAAACAAACAAACAAACAAATACAATTGGGTGGGGACTCAGGCAGGAAAACTGATCATATAATTCAACTTAAAGTCTTAAAGCCCTTCTTAATAATAAACAATTGTATCTCTTTGTTATTCAGTGAGGTGTTTCTGTTATTTGGCCTACCCTCATTGATATTAATACAGTGGACAAGTTTATAGAAACGCCTCTCAGTATAATATAATACAATTCAACAAGTTAATTAGATTTATATATCAGCTTAAACCTTTACTAAAAGGCAGGGCTAGTGTAACGCACCACGGGGCGTCTTTTTTTCTGAATCAGACGTAGGATGAGCACCAGCTTTGTATCCAGAAATGCATCAAACTTTGCTTTGCAGGATCACTCTGGATGTGCGTGTCTGCTGATACACATGAAGCAAAACAACTAGTGATTTAATCTAAAACAAGTGTGTGATTGTTTTATGAATGTAAATGCATGGTGGGTGTGTGTGCGTGTGTTCGCCTGCCTGCCCATGTGATACATGTCTGTCCATCGAAGGAAGTCCCAGAAGTGCAGGATTATAACACTAAGGAGGGAACATGCTACTGTGACAGCAGCAACTTCCTCACACACACATACACAGACCTACTGTACACACAGGCCCAGGTATTAAGAAACCCCCCACTGGCTTTTTATTCTACAACAGTTCACTCATCTTTCTCCGGGGACAAATTAGTTCCTCTGGCGTGACAGGCAGACAAAGAGCCGACAGGGCCTGACCTGCGTCACAAACCCCAGCATTAAAACAGTGTAACTGTTATTGCTCCATTCACAACTCATCTATGACCTTGCTGGCTCATTTCACACATACAGTATGGTCTTGAACCCGGCTCTACCAGCACTTCCCTGGATTGTCAGGAAATGTGGTACACACATTCATCGGTCACCCTTTTCTTGTAGCTTTGGTTTATGATCAAATACCAATGAACCATCAGCCTCAGCTATGCTTTGTGTTCATTGCTAATTAGTAAATGCTAGCATGCTAACATGCTAAACTAAAATGTTGAACTTGGTGCACATTATATCTGCTAAACATCAAACTTGAGCGTGTTAGCATTGTGATGTTAGCATTAACTCCTACAGAGCAGTGTGGTGTGGACCTGTTTTAAGAAATGGAAAAGGAGATGCTATATATTTCCTGATATATTAAGTACATTTTTTGGCTCAATGTGATCTCTGATTAGTCTCTCCTTTCAAGCTGTCTTGGTAGTATTGCATCAACATTATTTTTGATTGATGAGGAGATACGGTGATGATGTGTTTAGGGTTTACTTCCTTTTTGCATTGAAATCCTTACAGAGTGTTTTATTGAAAGGTTGTTTTGTGCAAAAATGATTTATTTACCTCCCTTCTTTCCCAAATCCTGCGCTTAAATGTTTCCCTTTCCTCTCTCCCTGTTTTTGGGAGGTTTGGAAGGAAGAGGCTCTCTGGTAAGCCCTTTCTGACAAAACCTCTGGCTCAGACTGACTCTGCCCCCCCCTACAACCTTTGTAGTATCCTGAAGCACATTTATAAGCTCACTTTGCCAAATAGCTAATTGTAATCAGATGCAAAAAAAGGGAATTTAACCGACCTGCACTAATACACTTTATGGTCCAATTTTACGCTGTAATATAATGAGTGCAACATCTCTTAGTTTGTGCCTTGAACCGTGGCAGATGATGTGCAATTTGTGGTGCTATCAGCGACCGCAATCTGTTCTTTGTGAGTTCGTCAACAAGTGTACTCAAACAATATTTAGAGAATAATTTACATAAGAGATGAGATTGTACATTTTCAAATGAGACATCTACAGTGTCATTAAGTGGAACGAGGACACAGGCAAAGTGGTGTACTTAGACTCAGGTTTCTCTCTTATGACTCAGTGTCAGTGAGATGTATAGTGCGAATCAGCACATACAGTACAGTACAACATGTGCAAGTTGACCAAGTGCACACGAACGGCAACTTTTTCATACCTGTGTAAACACTTCATCTCCTGAGTTCAAACAGGCTAAGGCTTTAAGTGGTGTACCCAGTGTTGTGTTGTGCAAGGTGTTGGCTGGTCACGTAGAAAAGGCTTTTGTACAGTGTATCATCAGAGAAATCAGTAAAGGGAGAATAGTCTGTTCTTTAGGGATAGCAGATAAGACTGTTTACCTTCTTCCTCTCCGTCTGAGAAAAATACAGACCTGCACTGTTTCCTCTACACTGGAATGTGTATGTTGTACCCAGGAACTACTTCCTTATGTCTGGCTGTGTGTATATGTGTGTACAATATGTGTCTGTACATCAGTCGCACTCTACTGCTTTTCTCAGAGTGGCAAGGTGACATATTGTCATAATGAGGGTAATGACCTGATGAAAGAAAGCTTTGTGAGTCTGCATTTTTCCTTCCCTTATGCAAACGACTAAAATATTGCAGCTATAATTTTTACTGATTAGCAACACATGCCTTTAAGCATTGTAAGTTTGTTGTGTTCACACTTGGGCTATGTCTTTCAGGATTATTGTGATGTATGAGATATGGGTCACATTGTGTTTCATAACCACAACCATCTCAGGAGAATAATTCACATATTTTGCTCAAGTAATAGCACTAACACCACACTGAGCTACTATTTTAAAAGTCATGCAGTTCCCATGCAGTAAAATTGTAACTTCTATACTGTTATTTATTATATTGTTAGATTATTTATTAGCATTTTTTTTTTTTTTTCACCAAAAATTGCTGGATGCCAGCTGGATTCAAATCAGATTTTATGTAATTTTTTCAATGGTGAACCCCAAACTTCCGGCTACAGACATTCATTCATATTTTACAGGGCTTGCTATCTTTTCATGAAATGGCAGGTGTCAGTTTGCTTGTTTTTACACACAATGTGTCTCATTTATGAGGGGGACAGCTCATTATGTGGAGGACCCTCTTGTGTCATATGAATTTAACCTCGGGTCATGTATTATCCTCTTCAGCTCTCCATTGAGTGTTCCTCTCTCATTCTCTTGCTATAGTGTGTGTTGCACTGTACCCCAAATGGACATCCTGTTTTGAGTGTTCCCCTCACAGATTCAAGTTGTGATTCTGGACAATGATACACTCATACTATAGTTATGTCCTCATATAACTCTTGTATGAGCCGTGGCCGAGTAAGGGCAGGACTAATGGGACTGCGGCAGATTGTCCTGCAGTTTGTACAGCACACGTACAGTAAAGTACATTTGCTAGTTGTTTATTTTTACGATTTAGGACTCAAGACTTGATGATTAAAGGTATTTCGAATGTTCGACAAATAGATGAGTCCTGAAAGATTTCTTAATTGTGTTTCATCTTTAAGCAAAACCTAACACCTTGATTTAGAAAGCATACACAAATGAACTCCCTAAGTGAATGCTTCTTCTCTGAAACAATGGATGTCTAATTGTCTTGAATTAATCTGAAGCTCATTTCATCAGAGTAGTATTTCAGAGTAGAACAATTGAGCTTTCCCTGACGCTACCAAGTACCAAGTTATTTGTATCTAAGTCTAATCGAACCTTAACTTAATCAACATGCTCTATTTTGTGATTAAGTTTGGAGGAGTTGTTTTTATGCAGTGGAGCATGGCACATACTGGAGCTGAATAATTAAAAGAGATGACGAGAAAGAAAGTTGGCTACTTTCCCTTCATTTCCTTCCATTGCAATTCTTCCGAGCAGCCACACTGCATGTCCAACATTACCATCATCATCTCCACTATGTGTGACACATACAGTAATACCCCGGAGTTCAAAAGAAGAGTGGGAACCACTGCCCAGTACTAAACCACAACTGCCATTAAAGTGTCCTCTCTCTAGTTTGACTATCCCCTGCCAATAACACTGACTCGCTACTTTGAAATGTCATTTCAAAGTAGCGAGTCAGTGTTATTGGCAGGGGATAGTCAAACTAGAGAGAGGACACTTTAATGGCAGTTGTGGTTTAGTACTGGGCAGTGGTTCCNATTTGACGTCAGATCGGCAGCAAATCTGTATCCACAGAAAATTGCTATCAGAAACAATGCCTGACGTGTTTTGGACGTAAACTCGCCTTTGTTTACATCAGCAAGCCTCGCTAACACTCAGAGCTAACCTGTACTGTAGAGCAGGGGTTCTCAAACTTTTTGTTTATGCGGACCACTATTTATNAAACTGACCCAGTCCGGCCACATGAAATGTCAAATGTTAGAAATCCGCTGTTTATTATTTAAGTACGTTTTACGTCCGATTCGCTCATTTTTTCCTCTCTGTACACAACTCCATTTTGAGCATTGGCCTGTCATCAGATTTAATTTGTAGTTGTTGCTGTGGCGGAACTTTAGTAAAATAGTTTTTGATGAAATACTTCAAATCTCCACCCTCCATAATTGCACTTGCTTCAGTTGCTTGCTACTTTCTAAGGGCGGTGATGACTTATAGTACGAACTGAAGTTGATACGATTTGATTGGATTGTGAGGCATGAAGTGAGCCTCATCTGATTGGTCAATCCCTCCATTTTTTTCTACCAACGGGAAGGACCAACTTACGGTCGTAGCTCCTCTCGCAACAGAGAGTGCAATACTACT